TAAAAGGACCGTGCCAACTAGAAAGCATAATATTTGTAAAAGATGTGATGCAAGGAATATCAATGACGACGGCTGTCAGGAGATAATTTGAAATAACAATTCCATAAAATGTACGACTGTACGTACGTAACAGTACGTACAGTAGATAAGGGGATTTAAGCATCGTACTCTGATTTTGTTTTCTTCGTTTTGTTTAATTCTGACATGCTTTATAACAAAGAGCAGCATTCACTAGCAATAAACTTAAACCAATCACATCTAACCCACCAGTAGATGCCAGATAGTTCCAATAGTCAAGAGAGTTACTGTACAGTATATATTAAGAAACCCACAACATTTGCCAGTGTACAAGCCGCATCATTTCTGTAAGATTAGGTTAGTGTAAGATTAGGTTACATTAGGTTCGTGTAAGGTTAGGTAACATTAGGTTCGTGTAAGGTTAGGTAGCATTAGGTTAGTGTAAGGTTATGTAGCATTAGGTTAGTGTTAGGTTATGTAGCATTAGGTTAGCTTTAGCTCGTTTACCAGAGAGGAATGCCTCGATTTTCTGGTAATTTTCATCATAGAAATTCCTGTGTGTCTGACCGAGGGTGTCGCTACAGGTCTTCGTGATAATGGCCTTGAGGTACCACTTCGGCATTCTGATTCAAGTTGTTGATTGTCGCATTGTTTTATCAGCCGACCCCCCTCGTTGATCTCCTCTCTGAAAGTGTTACATCTTTTGACCCTCAAGTCGCTTGGTGTTGAAACTTGAAACCGTTTCTGGTGGCTTGTTGCTTTAGCCATTTTAGGGAGACGTGAAGGGAGAGTTTGGCTCTGATGAAGCGATGATCTGTCACAGTGGGCAGAGCCACCCATGGATCCAGTTCTCTGACACTGATGTCAGTGAGATGCCTGGTTAATGTAAGGTGCTCCAAAGAACCCTTGAACTTGTTGTGCTACCTAAACAAGGTATTGGTAATAGTGAGGCTGCATTTGCCGAGGGGGAGGCTGTTAGGATTACACTTGCCCACTCCGTTTCTCCATATGGTTCCCTGCCATAAATTAGCATGTATGCCAACTTTGGCATTAAAGTCATGTAGAAGCACAACTTCATCTCCTCTGGGGATAGAGTTTAACACTATCAACGTCGGCATAAAAGGGCTTTCCCAACCACTACCCCCCCCACACACACACACACACAACACACACCCTGCTCCTCGGCCAGCCACCTCACCTACAGTATCAGGGGCGGAGGAAAATTATATATACCTTCAAAACACCCGCAAATGGAATAGGGTAGGTTGTCTAGTGCCAATACATCTGTACCACCAAAATGGACAGTCAACCAGAAGGCAGCTTTAAAAAATCAACCATGATAACTTAGCTTATTCAGTAGCAGACGGTCAACCTACCATCTACTACCCCTTCTTAAACTTCTTCAGTTTCCGAACTATTATTCCCCTCCTCTCCGCTCTAATCGTCTTTCACTACAAAGGGGGGAAGGGGCAGTATATGTACCCCTAGGAGAACCCTGGCCTGGTGTATGAGACATGAGACGTCGGATAGACCAGAGGGATGCACAGAGGGTTTTCTCGTGGGGTCAGGATGAGAGTACGCGTAGAAAGATAACCTTACTAAACCACATGTACCACAGATACGTAATCTTTAACACGCTCAGATAATGTTGTGCGTTTAGCGTAATTGCAAAATACTCTTCGTGTTTGGATTATTTTTAGCGAAAATGGTATATCGGGAATACTTTTGGAAATTTTGTCATTATGTAGATGTGTATGGAAATGATATAACATGGAAATATTTGTATTGTAATAACGAACCGCTAATAGACATAAACCGTACCAATTTATTTCTTTTGCTTTTCCATTTTTGCAGTCAAAGCAATTGTCAGTTCTATTTGCTTCTCACTGAATAGACTGCCTGAGTCGATGAAAAGAGGTAAATGAAAAAAAAAGATAGTTGAAAATTAATAATACAAATAAAAATAAATTAGTATTCTTGTGGGTGTAAGTGAATCAGACTTTTACAGCTGTGCACTATTGTTGTCGTACTCCTCTTTACACACACACACACTTGACCATCACCACAACAGCGCCTGCTTGTTTTCGCCCAATTTACAACCACCCACACACACTCTACCTTAAACTAGACTTATTCACCCAGCACCAGCTCACGGCGACAAAACAGAGAGTATATATATATAGTACATTGATACTCTTTTTAAATAATTATAGTATTTTGTTATTTAGTTTGTTTGTTAATAAGTGAACATTACCTAACTACGATAAGTCTCGGTGTAATTTTCATGTTAATTGTGTGCATTCTTATAATTCATTAACGAGGATTATGTACCGTATGAACCTCAAATTATGTGGACTTTGAACGCATACATAAATCATTCATTCATTCATGCATACATACAATATTCTGTAAAACCGTCATAAAAGTTTACATTGATTCGTTATGCAGGTACAGTATACAGTTCAGCATGTATATAGACCGTGCGGGTGTTACAATTAAAAGGGCTTGGCGTCAATAGAGTCAAATTAAATTATAGTGGGAGTTGCTGAGAGTTTTTGTGTCTGGTGTTCACAACCCTCTCAAGAAGAAAGAATAATAATGGAGATAATTTCGTGTTTCTGCCATTTTGTGTCGCACCCACCCTCCACCATCCCTTCCTACCCTCGCCCCCCCTCCTACCTTGCTATGGTGGGGGGGGATGTGTCAGGGGTTCAGAATATGCAATTATTTTTTACCTTTAAAGGCTAGGAACCCCTGCTTGATGATTAAACATTCTAACCCAACCTAACACCAATAACTTCATGCTCCCTATTACTCGTAGCTAATATAACTTCCTCACATGTTTTGACTATAGTGTTGAGCGGGAGACCGTGAGAGGTGAGCAAGGAGCCGAAGGTCGCAACTTGGGCTTTGATCAATACCTTGTTGGTTCCTGATGCTTCCCGCCTCCGCTGTGGTATTAGACCCTTCCCGAGTACACTGTCGTCGTCTTAAGGGGAGTGGTTATCGTTTTCTAAAGGTTAAATCACTGGCCTTAAAGGAATGGGTTATCGTTTTCTAAAGGTTAAATGACGTACACAGAGTGCTATGTCATTGTACTCATGGGTTTAATACGCCATACGCAGAGGGTAAGTCATCTTACTGAAGGGGAAAAGACATCATGTGCAGAGTTAATTCATTATTAATTATACTCAGGGGGTTAAGACCTACGTAAAGGGTTTCCAGTTATTACTCAAGGGGATAGGTCATTGTTTTCTAAGGATTAAGTCATATTCAAAGGATTAAGATATATCATTCTGAGTTAATTCCTAGTGCTCAAAGGGTCAAGTCATCGTACTCGGGGGGCCAAGTCATCGTACTCGGGGGGCCAAGTCATCGTACTCAGGGGGCCAAGTCATCATACTCAGGGGGGCCAAGTCATCGTACTCAAAGGTCCCATACATCCTACTGCAGGGAACTTTGTGACTCAGGTGTTGCGTGACCCTACCTCCCCATATACATGTTTAATTAACCAGTGAACCAGCAAGGTGGCGGGTTGGGGGGGCTGTTTGACCTGACCTGACCTAAGAAAGCCCAGGTGCATGCTACAGCCTCGGTGATGTCACAGCTCATACCTCCTATTTCTATTGGTCAATTCTCACAGTGACCTGACCTGAAAATCTGTATAATCTCTCCCACGGATTACTGTGTAAGCAGAGTTGTGATGCAAATTGAAGTGAAAAAATAGTACTATTTTGAAGTGTTTATTTAACTTTTCCCATAAAAACCGAACAAGCAAATTTCCTTCAGAAATTTTCAGGACAAGTAAACGTTCCACATAATCCGTTCTGGTGTGGTGGTAGACTCACCTGGTCTATGGTGTGGTGATAGACTCACCTGGCCTGCTGTGTGGTGGTAGACTCACCTGGCCTGCTGTGTGGTGGTAGACTCGCCTCCTGGTCTGTGGTGTGGTGGTAGACTCACCTCCTGGTCTGTGGTGTGGTGGTAGACTCACCTCCTGGTCTGTGGTGTGGTGGTAGACTCACCTCCTGGTCTGTGGTGTGGTGGTAGATTCACCTCCTGGTCTGTGGTGTGGTGGTAGACTCACCTCCTGGTCTGTGGTGTGGTGGTAGACTCACCTCTTGGTCTGTGGTGTGGTGGTAGACTCACCTCCTGGTCTGTGGTGTGGTGGTAGAACTCACCTCCTGGTCTGTGGTGTGGTGGAGCTCCTGCCTCCTGGTCCTGTAGTGTGGTGGTAGACTCACCGTGTCTGTGGTGTGGTGAGCCGACTCACATCTGGTCTGTGGTGTGGTGGTGGGCCTCACCGTGTCTGTGTGTGGTGGTAGACTCTGCCTCCTGGTCTGTGTGGTGTGGTGGTAGGCTCACCTCTTGGTCTCTGTGTGGTGTGGTGGTAAGACTCACCTCCTGGTCTGTGTGGTGGTAGACTCTCCGTGTCTGTGGTGTGTGGTAGACTCGCCTCCTGGTCTGTGGTGTGGTGGTAGACTCACCGTGTCTGTAGGGTGTGGTGGTAGACTCTGCCTCTTGGTCTGTGGTGTGGTGGTAGGGCTCACCTCCTGGTCCTGTGGTGTGTTGGTGGGCTCACCTCCTGGTCTGTGGTGTGGTGTGGGGCTCACCTCCTGGTCTGTAAGTGTGGTAGTAGATTCACCTCCTGGTCACATGGTGGTGGTAGATTCACCTCCTGGTCTGTGGTGTGGTAGACTCACCTCCTGGTCTGTGGTGTGGTGGTAGACTCACCACCTGGTCTGTGGTGTGGTGGTAGACTCACCACCTGGTCTGTGGTGTGGTGGTAGACTCACCTCCTGGTCTGTGGTGTGGTGGTAGACTCACCTCCTGGTCTGTGGTGTGGTGGTAGACTCACCTCCTGGTCTGTGGTGTGGTGGTAGACTCACCACCTGGTCTGTGGTGTGGTGGTAGACTCACCTCCTGGTCTGTGGTATGATGGTAGACTCACCTCCTGGTCTGTGGTATGATGGTAGACTCACCTTCAGGTCGCAATTGTTGTTGCTGTTGACGGAAGAGGAGGAACAGTAGGTTGAACCAGGCTAAGACGCCTACTGCCAGGAAGGTCACCAGTCTGAGGTTCCCCCTTCGCATTTTGGTGTCTTGTAGCTGGGTTACTGCGACACCATCCTCAACTCCTGCTGGTGGGTGCTAGTGTACCTGTTGATTGTGCTCTCACTACTACAAGCTGACTCGCTGGGCTTTTCATTAGAGACAAAATTATTACTACTGATAATACACTGTTAGTTTGTTATCGTCCACAACTTGTTCGGGTTTACTAATAACTTATACATCAGACACTTTAAAACACACGTAGTTAGTAGTGTTGTGTGGAGAACGGATACCACCACCGATAAGGCAAGTCCGGACGTGTAAAGATATATTTTAAATATTGTCATGATACCAGCCACAACACCTGCGGGATGTAATAACAATTATGTTTCTTGTTTTATTGTCTTATTCTCACAACTTTGGTAACATACTGTTTTGTCCAGCTCCTTTTCTCACGAGCTCGTTGTCCCACACTTTCCTCACCAGGTTGTCCTGGACATTACATCATAATACAAAGTCAGAATGCTATGTGATGTACAAGTACAGAGTGAGAACAATTTTCTGGTATATATTGTTGATAATGGATTAACCTGAAGGAGTGTTGTTTGAGCGCAGGCGGGAGTTTGTGGAGCCAGAGGACCTGAGTCACTGTCCCAAAATGTCCTTCCAGTTCTTGGCCGGGATATACTGGGTGAGTTTGCCGCTGAACAGGGTGTTGTTGAGCAACACCAGGACCAAGTTGAAGATGAGGCCGAATAGCACCAGCGCAGCGAACCCCTTGATGAAGATAGTGAGTAGCCTCCCTATGGACTGGAGTAGTCCTCGCTGGGGCCTTGTCTCCATCTCCTTGGCTGGGGCAAGATCTGTCACTGTCTTTTTGCTGTTTTGTTGTTGAGTGTGGGACCCCTTGTTGTGCTTGTTTTGTTGAGCTTTACTAGATTTTGTGCTCTGGTTGGTCTTGGTGCCGTTGCCCGCCTGGCCTCTCTTGCGTGAGGAAGTCGACATAATGGATGATCACAGTAATGGCACACGCCTACACAGACAGCCACCACGCCCACCACTAACTTATGTCCACCATCAGTTACCTCCAACACCCGCACCCCCTCACTTTTATACACTGATTACTTGTTGCTCGTTCCAAGCCGCTGTCTAGACCTACAACTGGTGACGAAAATATAACTAATAAATTTTGAGCTTACGAATATAACTCTGGAAATTTGATGGTGGGTATGGAGGTGTGTATTGTTCAGGGTGTGGACGCTACGAGTGTATGAGTTGACTGTGTGGTGAGAGGTGTAGCTGCCTCAACACAGTTGCGTGAAGTGAGGAAGGCTGGGGGGGGAGGGGGACCCCCTCACTTCCTTGACGCCCCAATTTCCAATTTCATCAATTTAGTTTTTACACTGTTAAATGATGACACACAATAAGGACTTTGATATTATGATTTTTCCAGCATCCTTCACCACCATGGCGTGGGGTATTTAATATTGTAGGTGTATTAATATTTTAATAAGATATAAGACTGCGCCGTGGTATATTGGTCAGCATTTAGTTGTTCTTTTAAGTGATCACATGATCAATATGTAGTTGTTATCAGTGATCACTTTAAGTAGTAACTCAAATATTGTACCTGGCACCTGTGTCAAGCATGAGTGTTTATTGTGGCAGAACCGTATCTAAGCAACCTGGACTGGCACCCACCTGTGACGTCACTTAGTCCTCACCACTGGCAGGTGTGGCGCTGTGTGACGTTCCACAAACAGCAGTGTGGCTGCCAATAAGGGAGGAGCACGCCGTAGTCAACACGTGGCAAGTGTGACCACATGGTCTACTATTACTATGGCTGCATTGATCCACCACCTCACGAGGGTGTCATTCAAGGTGCGGCAAACGTTATCAGCACGTACGTGGCTTCTGCCACTTCCTTCTCAACTCACACACACACACACATACATATATATATATATATATATATATATATATATATATATATATATATATATATATATATATATATATATATATATATATATATATATATATATATATATATATATATATATATATATATATATATATATATATATATATATATATATATATATATATATATATATATATATATATATATATATATATATATATATATATATATATATATATATATATATATATATATATATATATATATATATATATATATATATATATATATATATATATATATTATATATATATATAATAGTTACATATATTATAGACATAAGAAAATAAGGAGTCTGCAATAGGCCGGTTGGCCTGTGCATGACAGCTCCTGTCGAGATTTACTACCATTCTCTCATCCGTGAATCTATCTAGCGTCCTTTTAAAACTTTCCAGCGTTCCAGCACTTACTACAAAGTTGCTAAGCTTGTTCCACTCGTCCACCACCCTATTTGTGAACCAGTTATCACAACAGTTAAGTAATCATTGCCTTATTATTATGATAGAACTGTAACTGAACACGGTAAGAAGTTCATTTAATGTTATCTGACAGTAATTTTATATTTGATAATTTATTATGAATTGCAACATCTGCGAACGGCCCTGTCGATCCCGTATCGGCCTCTTGAGTCACCTCAGAGCTCACCAACGAAGGTGACATTAATAACTAATATCATTGTGTCATAGCTAGATGATCGTCATCCCCGATTCCGGATAGCGACATAGTAGTGTGTGTGTGTTTAAAGGTACCCTCTGAAAAACGATGTACAGTATCTAAAATAGTTACCGATAATCAAGCTAGGCTTACTGGGTGTTTAGTGGGAGTTGAGTGAGGCGGTCACTGATACTTAATCAGGTTAAAACTGATACATACTGTACAAGGTCAAATGGATCCAGTCCTGATTGTAGGCCCCATCCAAACTTAACTGACCAACCTGTTAGGATTGCCCAAATAATGGTTTTATAACCCAACAAATAAAACAACAGCAAAACAAATCAGTTGAATAATTCTACCACCCATTATTTCGTGCTTAAATAATTGCACTTAAACTTTATATTAAAAAGAAAACGGGAAATTCACATTTGTGGTAAAAGCTGATTAAAACAATATTTTCTGCAGGCAGTGAAGTGGATACATTGGCGCAGGGTCTTTCGAGCTCGCGACGGTGTCTGACATTTTTTTCCTAATACATGTTTAAGCAGTGGTTCAGAGGAGGTTGGCTGGCGGGTAAGGTGGGGGCTGAACACACCCACTGTAACTGTATCTGACGAGGGCGTGTTGTGTTCTCTTTCTCTATGTGGCTATTGGTACGTGTTGGTGTTATGTTCGTTAGGTTACATCTACAATTCCTATAAAGTAGGCCCATCCTCTGCTATTTTGGCAACAAAATCGATGGAGATTAAATAAAAAGAAAAATAAGTGGTGCGCATTATATTGCACTACACCCTTGCATCATGGTATGGTTGCTTGGTGTGTTTACAAATGGCAAAGTGTGTGTATATACAGCTGTACCCACATGGTCACACCCAGCAGGTAGATGATACATGGACATTGTTATGAAACCTGTAATTATGCAAGAGTTGGTGTGCGCAGTATATGCAAGAGAAAAGGCCAGCTCAATACTGGTTTGCTTGTCCGCGTTTCTCGTGCAGTCATAGTGAATGACTGACGAATTAAAAAAATAAAAGAAACAGTTGATTGGTCAGCGTAAAAACCGGATAAACATTTGTAACATGTAACAAATCGCCAAGAATCTTGTTACAAGCTCCGTCTGTTGCTGAAAGTAATACAGTAAAGCAATTGTGGTTAATACTGTAGTAGGTTATATTGATGTTAGTGATGGGTTATTATTGACCAAAGTGCTACATGTTGAGCCGGTTGTTGTTTTGCGGGTTCGATTACGCTCGTGTTTATTTTGGTTGATTTGGGTTAATTTAGATTAAATTAGGTTAATTTATATTGAATTAAGTTAATTTAGAAGTAGGTTGGGTTAATAGGGATAGTTCCATTTTTTCCCGTTTCTACGGTGTCTAGTTAAGGGAAAGTAGAATTATAATTCACGGTCTGACAAATATGAAAGGTTAACAGAACAGTTTATGCATGTTCCTATACATGTTTGTGTACAGGAAAGGCATGAATGGGTATATGTTCAAATGAATATACTGTGTCAAAGTTTGATATAACAATAAAATCAACTACGCAGTGTTTTCTGTAATGAAGCCGAAATGTTCTTAACTTAAAATTGATACTGTAGGTTACGGAATAGTACCATATACCTTAGCATAACTTATGAATATAGGAATGTGTTAATTTATATGAAACGTGTTTATTTGACTGTAACTTGTGTTCGTGCGTCTTGCACAACGTGAAGTATTAAGACAACTCGACAAACCTTGTGAAACACACGGATGTGAATCTCATATTACCTCCTGCTCGGTAAATAGAATTATACTCTGACTTTGGAAATGACTCGGGTAATCACAAAATAATACAGTATCTGTAAGTTTACTGTGATATCCGTGACTAAATAAATGACAATACTGTATTGTACAATATGGTATAGTGTGGTGGTACGATGTGTGAGGCAGTTCGTGACACAGATCCATTACTCTTGTCGAGGAATGTCTGGATGGGATTTACTGTTGATAATTATTTCAGGATTTTCAGGTATGAGACACGGATCATTGGTTCAGCCAACAACCTGTGAACTGTATCTGCACCCGGTGAGTGTAATCACGGCGAGTAAAATATTCTCAAGTATCTTAGGCTGCTGGCAGTAGGTTGTCTAGAATTAGGTAGATGTAATGATGGTGTGCCAGGCTGCGTGAAGGAGCGGTTGTATTTGGTTAATATTTTATGAGTGGCAGTATTGTTTGGTGCAAGTATGAGTCGCTGGCTGCGTGGGTGTTTGCCCAAGATGGTGGTGTTGTGTGTTTTTAGTTATGAGGTACAGTTGCGTGTATTGTTATTTACAACAAAGTGAAGTTGTGTGTTCTTAACAAAGACAAGGTACTACATTACGTACAGTACTGTACATATTCTTTGATTCGTTACAAAGCGATGCTGTTTTGTTAGTTACAATGAAAATGTTTTGTATATTATTTGGCACAAGGTGAGGTTGTTGTGTTAGTTATGAGGTGAGGTTGTTTTGTTGTTAGTTATAAAGTAAAGTTGTGATGTTAGTTATCAGGTGAAGTTGTTGTTAGTTATAAGGTGAGGTTGTTGTATTGTTAGTTATAAGGTGGGGTTGTTGTATTGTTAGTTATGAGGTGAGGTTGTTGTATTGTTAGTTATGAGGTGAGGTTGTATTGTTAGTTATGAGGTGAGGTTGTTGTATTGTTAGTTATGAGGTGAGGTTGTATTGTTAGTTATGAGGTGAGGTTGTTGTATTGTTAGTTATAGGTGGGGTTGTTGTATTGTTAGTTATGAGGTGAGGTTGTTGTATTGTTAGTTATAAGGTGAGGTTGTTGTATTGTTAGTTATAAGGTGGGGTTGTTGTATTGTTAGTTATGAGGTGAGGTTGTTGTATTGTTAGTTATAAGGTGAGGTTGTTGTATTGTTAGTTATGAGGTGAGGTTGTTGTATTGTTAGTTATGGGTGAGGTTGTTGTATTGTTAGTTATAAGGTGAGTTGTGAGGTTGTTGCAGTTATTAAGGTGAGGTTGTTGTATTGTTAGTTATAGGTGAGGTTGTTGTATTGTTAGTTGAGGTGAGGTGTGTTAGTTGTTATTGTTAGTTATGAGGTGAGGTTGTTGTATTGTTAGTTATGAGGTGAGGTTGTTGTATTGTTAGTTAGGGTGAGGTGGTAGGTTGTTGTATTGTTAGTTAGGTGAGTTGTTGTTGTTAGTTGAGGTTTGTTATTGTTATGAGGTGAGGTTGTTGTATTGTTAGTTATGAGGTGAGGTGTTGTATTGTTAGTTTGAGGTGGTATTGGTTGTTGAGGTTGTTGTATTGTTAGTTGCGAGGTGAGGTTGTTGTATTGTTAGTGAGGTGAGTTATGAGGTGAGGTTGTTGTGTTGTTAGTTGTGAGGTGAGGTTGTTGTATTGTTAGTTATGAGGTGAGGTTGTTGTATTGTTAGTTATGAGGTGAGGTTGTTGTATTGTTAGTTATAGGGTGAGGTTGTTGTGTTGTTAGTTATAAGGTGAGGTTGTTAGTTGTGAGGTGGGGTTGTTGTGTTGTTAGTTATGAAGTGAGGCTGTTAGTTGTGAGGTGGGGTTGTTGTGTTGTTAGTTATAGGGTGAGGTTGTTGTGTTGTTAGTTATAGGGTGAGGTTGTTAGTTGTGAGGTGGGGTTGTTGTGTTGTTAGTTATGAAGTGAGGTTGTTAGTTATGAGGTGAGGTTGTTGTGTTGTTAGTTATAGGGTGAGGTTGTTGTGAGGTGGGGTTGTTGTGTTAGTTATGAGGTGAGGTTGTTGTGTTGTTAGTTATAAGGTGGGGTTGTTGTGTTGTTAGTTGTGAGGTGAGGTTGTTGTGTTGTTAGTTATGAAGTGAGGTTGTTAGTTGTGAGGTGGGGTTGTTGTGTTGTTAGTTATGAAGGAGGTTGTTAGTTGTGAGGTGGGGTTGTTGTGTTGTTAGTTGGTGAGGTGAGGCTTAGTGGAGGTGATGTTGTGAGGTGGGGTTGTTGTGTTGTTAGTTATGAGGTGAGGTTGTTGTGAGGTGGGGTTGTTGTGTTGTTAGTTATGAGGTGAGGTTGTTGTGAGGTGGGGTTGTTGTGTTGTTAGTTATGAGGTGAAGTTGTTGTGTTGTTAGTTATAAGGTAAGGTTGTTATGTAAGTTACAAGCTGAGTTATAAGTTACATGTCGGCAGTGGTGGTGTGTTTAGAATTAATATGGCCAGTTATTTTGCAGTTAATTCACGAGATTGTGGGTATATGATCAAGATTTATTATTTTATTTCATTTATTATTATTATTTTTTTTTTGGTGTGGGTGGGGGGTTCTGAGAGAGTCCTGTGTGTGTGTGTGTGTCGTAATGGTTGTATTGTACTGTGTGTGTGTTGTAATGGTTGTATTGTAATGTGTGTTGTAATGGTTGTATTGTAATGTGTGTTGTAATGGTTGTATTGTAATGTGTGCGTGTTTGTTGCAATGGTTGTATTGTAATGTATGTTGTAATGGTTGTATTGTAATGTGTGCGTGTTTGTTGTAATGGTTGCATTGTACTGTGTGTGTGTTGTAATGGTTGTATTGTACGTGTGTGTGTGTTGTAATGGTTGTATTGTAATGTGTGTTGTAATGGTTGTATTGCAATGTGTGTTGTAATGGTTGTATTGTAATGTGTGTTGTAATGGTTGTATTGTAATGTGTGTTGTAATGGTTGTATTGTAATGTGTGCGTGTTTGTTGTAATGGTTGTATTGTAATGTGTGTATGTTTGTTTTGTTGTAATGGTTGTATTGTACAGTAATCCTGCATTTGTTATATATATATATATATATATATATATATATATATATATATATATATATATATATATATATATATATATATCCTTAAAAAAATATTAAATTTCACGCCATTTTTTATATTCCCCTGTGCAGTGCCGCAAACATACGCCACCCCTTCCCGCCTCAAACACCCACTGCTCCGAGAAGCCTCAGTCTACACGTGCCTACTGTACAGTACTGTGATTACCTCTTCTGTTTGTCCTCCCACTTGCATTCCACATGGCTCCGGGACGTAAGCCAGCCTCATCAAAGGCAAATATTACTAGCAAAGACTCCAAAGTGACCAAGAGATCAAGAATAGTGATGACCTTAACGGAATAAAAAAGTTTTATTGGACAAGCTCAGAGGTGGTATGAGCTATGGCTCGTGATGTGGTGAAGACTGACAATTCATTTGTGTCTTTTGTCAGAATACAAGTCTTCAAGTGGAGGAATGTGGGTGGAAGAAGACTGGCTGGCTGGCTGGCGTGACTGCGTGAGGGTAGGCAGACGCCGGGACAGTAGGGAGAGGCTGGCAATGCGGGTGTTGCTGACCTCAGCGAAATATAATTTTATGTATTTACTTGTAAATAATAATTTTTTTTATATAACTGTGTTTACGTTTTCCATTATTATACTACAATTTGATTAGTTTCAAATGATGATGTTTGTAAATGCCGGTACAGTGGATCAGTGTGACCGGTGGGCCGTGAGTGGAGAACATGGCATGGTTAAGTGCATGACCTACCTGTTTGGTGCCGACAGGTACAGTGATTCCTAAAAGAGTATTTGCGGTTTAGGCTTTTCGCTGAGGTTTCAGGAACATAATTCCCGCGAAAAACACGGGATTACTGTACTGTATTTGTTTCATTGTGTGCATGATGTAGGTCACATTAGTTATGGTTACTTAACATGCACAACCAGGCTATTTCTAAGGAGTTGGGAAATATGTATGAGGCTAGGGAGAGTGTTAGTTATAGTTCCTGCCCCTCAACTGTGGAATATCTTGAGTGTGAAGAAATAGGCTCATTCCTACTTTGAAACGGCCACAAAGCTCAAGACAATGCATCCCTGACACATGCACCTTTAAAATTATGCTGTAATGTACCGGTCATATTATATTAATAATTTTATTATCAGTGAAAGAAAGGAGTGTTATGAGAGGCAGAGGTGCAGTAACTGATGAGTACTGAGGAAAACCCTTAACATAAATTGAATACCTTTTTTTTTGAGAGAGAAAGATGTTACATGGTATTGAGAGAGAGAGAGAGAGAGAGAGATATCTTACATGGTATATTGCAATGGTTAGTTTCGTAATGTTGTTCTAAACATACAAGTTCTATATGAAAAGATTTAAAAGACAAAATATGTTTATAGTTTTTATTCTCTTGCAGTTTGAAAGGTAATCAAAATGTCTCGTCGTAAAGGCTTGAGTCATGAGGAAAAGCGGCAGAAGATGATGGAGCTGTTTTATGAGAAAAAGGAGTTTTTCCAACTCAAGGTACAGTACAGTACTGTTATAAATTTTTCTGATTGTTTCCAAGACCATTAACATACAAAATACAGTACTGTTCATTTATGGTGGGATAATTGGCTTGAATCATACTGTATTTTTATTCTTGTCATATTTTTTTAAGGTTCCAAACAACCATATGTGAAGAAATTTGCCACTTTACAGGGCAGCACGCTGTACCCCCATTTGTGAGGTGTTTGTTTGCACGATCATATATGATAAGCAACATCAGAATTTTTCTTCATTTTACCTACTGTACAGGTAGTCCCTGATTTAAGAAAGGGTGCTTTTCCTGATAAGCATTTCGTAGATAAATTTTTCGTAAATCAGATCCCATTTTCCAATAGACTCCCATTACAGGTATAACAGCTAAGACATGTTCTCTCAAAAACACTCCTCCATAATAATTATAAGCCAATGATAAACATAAGTGAAATGCAGGGAGTAAAGCAATGATTTTATCCTAACATGAAATCGTAGTGCTTGAAACTTTCTAAGAAATTGTGCCACTGGTTATGATGCAGTGCAAGAATCTGAGGCCCAACCAAGACATATAATACAGTGTAGTTTTAATTTCAGGGTGATGCACCAGCAGGTAGTCTACCTGTAATGAAAATATGATAAATTTATTTGTAGCAATGATTTTTATGTGAATTAATACCAATTTACAAATAGGATTTATATTTTGTCTAGGCATATTAAGAATACCTTAGTACTGTACTGTACTTTAATAATATATGATGAAAGGCAAATGGTTACTTACTGGTGATCATTCTTATAAAGGTTAGTGATGATAAGCCTAATTTGTTTGGTGAGTTAAAAACCTTATAAATTAAGGCCTGTTACATAAAGTAAATATGGGCCATAAATCTGTAAAAAATCATGTATGGTAAGTAAACTGACTTGGTCATATGCACACCTCCTTACCAATAGTGATTATTTCTCCTTACTTGAGTGGTATTGGGCTTAAATCCTTTTGATTAGCTGAAGATGCACAAATACTGCATAAGGTCAGAAGGTGTTAAAACATAAAAGGGGTCTAACTAGTCAAGGTCAAATTACTTGAGCACCTGCACACCTCCACCTGGTATTGATCTTTACTACCGGTATATTAAGTTTTATGGTAAGAGGCTTTCTAGTTTTTGAAGAGTTGAGGCAAACTTAACAAATTCACAGACATTGATATAAAAAAAATTTAAGGGGAATTTACTGAAAATGTCAGGAATGAAGGTCATTGGTACCCAAAACACAGACATGAATGAATGAATGGATGGCATTAATTGTACAGTACTGTACAGTATTTGGATTTTGGGCATGTATATCTTTTTTCTTTTCTTCTGAAAATTATAATAAAAACAAAAGAACCATTGGCTTTATTCTTACAGATGTATTTTTATGTTTTATGGTGTCACAGAATAATGTACTGTACTTCTGAATTGTTCAACCATACATCAATAAATGATGAACTTGCATGAAAGGTCATATATGTATACAGTACAGTACAATACTGTACTCTGGATTTTCAAGAAACAGTACATACTGTATTGTACTTTCTGTTCCCCTTGACCATTGCATGCCACCTCATCTTAGCCTGATACATATGAGATGTTAATATTGACACATGAGACATTAATATTGACACATATGAGACATTAAAATTGACTCATATGAGACATTACTATATTGACACATATGAGATACCCTGTATTAATATTCCTCTGAACACAGTTTTTTCCCTGTTGCATAAACAAGAGAAAATCATATTGATTTATATCTGTCCTTCCATCTGTATGTTTATTTGTCCCCTCCAGGGTTTCAGGTAAGAATATGAATGTAGAGCTATTCATTTTACATAAACTTCCTTAGATACACTACTGTACATTTTGGGATTACATGATTACAGTAGATTTCAATGCCGAATAATTGTTTGTTGCTGTGGTAAAGACAAATATCTTTTACATATATGACACTTGTTTATTTATTCTTCTTTTTAATTAAATGTTTTAGTAATTAATACTGTATTTGCTTTGCTTAATTTTTGCTCCCTAAATGTTTTCTCCTTATTTTTTCCTTATTTATTTATATGAATTATTTTTGTAAGTTAATAACATATTACTGGTTTTTCCTTATTTATTTTTTTCTTTGTGTCTTAGGAGCTAGAGAAGTTAGGACCTAAAGAGAAGGGAGTTATAGCTCAAGCAGTGAAAGATGTGGTGCAGTCCTTGGTGGATGATGCTATGGTAGACACTGATAAAATTGGCACATGTGTCTACTTTTGGGCTTTTCCAAGGTGAGATGGTACAGTATACAGGGTGTACAGTTTTGTAAAGTTGTTGCTGAAGAAAACAATGATATATGTACTGTAAAGGACTGATGTAGTAAAAAACATAATAAATTTGTAGATAAACATTCATGCTTATTTTCATTTATTATATTACTGCTGTTGTTGACAAATCATCGTGAAGTTTACAATAAAAACGGCAAAATAATAACTCGGCTCGCAAATTCAAACAAACCACCACTGACCTATAGCTAAGACGATTTTTACAGAAACAGGACAATAATCAGTAATGTTCAATAGTCAGTTCCTACTGAAGTCAACTATAGTTTACTGATAAATTGATTTTATTCACCGAAGCGCGTATAGTATTCTGAGACTATCATATACCAAAGATACTAATATATGGAGAACTTCAGTGACCATAATTTGTAAAGAATATTTAGTGTGACCATTCTGTTAGAAGAGATTAAAGAAAGTGTTTATGTTATGCATGATATCCAGTCTAACATGCTGTGTTAGAGTATTTGAAGAGTGAATTAGAGGACTCTTAAATAACCTTAATTTTCATCCTGCACAGTAAAGCTCTCAGCACACGTAAGAGAAAGATAGATAACCTGAATAGCCGACTAGAGGACACTAACAAGAGGTTGAAGACTGCCTTATCTAAATTGGAACAGGCCAAGGTATGTACAGTACTGTATTACTCTGTATTTTTCCCAAAACAAATGGACAACTTGAATCATTCTAATTAATAATAGATCAGATTACATATTGATGCCTTATGTAAAAAAAAAAAAAAAAAAATCTGTCTTTCAGATACTTTCTCATTTTATTGCTGGGTGTCTGAAACCATGATAAAATATAGTTTTTATTTACTGACACTTACTGTAACTTGTGCTCTTCACCTCAGCCTCCCATATCCTTCTGGGTCTTCCCCTTCCTTCCTACCATATACCTCTGAACTATCAACCTGACATATTTTTTGTATTCACTTCTCCTTATTTCTACATAGTTATCTGAAGTACGTAATTTCTGTTACACTTAGTAATGCTTCTTCCTCGTGTATTCAAACTTGACTTCATGCTTCAACGTCTTTTATGGTTCATAACCCTTTCTCCTTCCTTAGGAATGTATCTCAAGTTTTATAATGTGTGTCTATGGAAAGTGTGATGTGATTTACAAAAAAAAATATATATAAAGGTTTTTCAGAAACGGAACTCTTTCAAATATCGTGAATTCCTATACGTTAATGCAGTAATTGTAATTGTTTAAATAACTGGAAAAAGCATCATACTATAGATGTCCATGGCCAACAGCTTTTAGCTTTATGCACATAAACCTTTCAATGTATATGGGCTGTGGCAGCTACCAGAAGCTTATCCCACTTACAATGTCTATAAAGCTTTATGTACTGCAGTCTGTTCTAGGGAATTGCATTGTTTACAGAGGAGTGAAGACTTAGAATATGAAAATTCATAAAAGAAGCACCCAGAATACAATTTAAAGAAATATTTTTGCTACCTTAATTTTTTTAAACACTGTACTGTACAGTACTTTAACCTTTTGGCTGTGGGAGGTTACCCTAAGCTGAATAAAATCTTCTGGCGGTAGCCAGAATAAAATGGCAAGTGTAGGAAATGCCACGAAAGGGTCAAGGCTTGCTGTTCATATAATTTTTCCAATAATATACATATATTGAACACATACAGGAGTCTCATATTTTCCTATGCTTATTTTAAAATTTTATAATTGAATTGGATTATATTATGTCTCTGAGAAAGTTTTAATAGCATTACAGTACTGTAACCCATCCCAGGCTTTGGTCTTGAAACCTCACTTGCTTTTAAAGCAAATGTTGCCCTATGGGGCTCAAAGGTTGCTTTATCACTGGCTCATTAAGGAGCCAGAAACAGTACCTACTCTAATCTGGCTAGATTGTGTAACCTAGATTGGGAATATGTTAAACCTAACTTGCAGTCTGGTAGGCTGGTCAGGGGGTCCTGTCAATCATCTCTTCCTATCAGCTACAAAAGGAAATTTTGTATTTCAATCTTGTCTCTGATAATCTTCTTTTACTGAAGCCATGTTTGACCTACCTCTACTATTTTTTGTCAGGTGGGCCGCGAAGAGAGTGAAGATCGTGGAGAAATCTTGGAAAGGATGTCTCAGCTGGAGACGACTAAGGACCAGCTGGTGAAAGATATACAGAAGTACCATGATTGTGACCCAGAAGTACTGAATCAAATGAAAGCGGAAACTCAGGTAAGGACAAAAAAAAATGTTTTAGTTAAGCATTGTGTATACAGTACTGCATAGTACTGTATTTTACGGCATATAATTTAGTGTACACTTTTTTGTTTGAAAAATGGCTAAAAGATTTCAGCCTGCATCCTATATGTGAAGTTGCGGTGTAATGGCCAGCATGCTCGCTTTGCAAATACCTGTAAGTGGTCCCGAGATCGATTCCTGGCAGAGGAGAAACTATGGGCAAGTTGTTTTATGCCATTTGCCTTTGTCTACCCAGCAGTAATTGGCAACCTGGATGTTAATCGATTTGCAGATTGTGTTCTGGGTTAATGGTTAGCCTGTGCAGTTGGCAGGTTGTCCGGTCTTCTCGGACTATTCCTTAATATTGGGTCATGCAACGTGTTAACTTAGGGTGTGGTTGTTGTGTTGGCAACAGCTTCTTCACATTAATCAAATCCACACCTAGGTAGCCCTTGGGCCATCCTCATACATGAGGGGCAACCATTATATGAGGCGCCCAGTGCGACATGGTACCAAGCGCCAAAAATCACTATCGAGAAAAACTCTCTTAAAGTTTGGAAAAATACAAAATGACGTAATTTTTTAACCAATGAAGATATTGAGTTCATTTAAGTGGCAGTGTGTAGAGCCCTTAAAACTGGTTTTGCAAATACTAAAGTCATATAAATTGCATTTGTTTTTGATGGGCAGTGTTTGCAGTTTCATTAGTATGCATTGTTGTGGTATGATTTTCATTACATGGAAGCAATAATGTATTAAGACAACACCAGAAAGTCAAAGGTCATTGTACTGTTTGTATAAAAGCAAACAATACTGGGTACAGTATTACCAATATTTCAACCGGGGGCCAAGCACCAAAAAGTATAATAAAATAAAATGCGGGTACTTAAGTCTTAGTTATTATCAGAAAATTACAGTAAACATTGACTTGTATTACCAATATTACCACCCATCCTCACTCCCAGCCTCCTCCTCCTTCCTCTGTTTCCCCCCTTTAGTGTGATAAGACTCGTCACTCAGACAGGCCGGAACATGACATGCCACCAGCCCTCACTCCCACCCTCCATTCTCTCTGTTTTGTTTATTTTTTCTCAATGGCCCTTACTCCCTCCTTTCTGCCAATTGGGGAAAAAAAAAAGGTTTTGGTGTTATTACATAGCATTCCTATGACATTTTTGTAGAAACATAGACTCCCATTAGCTAATAAACAGTAAAGTAATGAGTCGCTATGAGTGAGAAAGGCTACGATTGGGGACCGCGTGCGCTTGTCCCCTTCTCCCTCAGTCCGCCTCGAGGCGCAGATCACCTACTGTAGAGGCACTTTTACCTACCTTCACTAATAAGGCTTTCAGCCTTACAAATATTGCACTACCGGGACATTTAGTGTTTCTGCAGATTGAGGAAAGGTTGGGGGTACAAATACTATAACTGAATTGGGGGGAGGGGGGGGGGTTGCTTGGTACCTTGTCGCACTCGGCACCTCGTATATTATAGTAAATCCCCCCCAGTTGCTGTCTCCAGTAGGCTAAGTTCTACCTAGCCCAACTCCAGAATTAAAAATATGTTATTGCTTACTTGCACATTACTATAATTTTTAATTAATAAAAACAAAAATTAAAGTGAATACTATAATACAGGTATCTGGATTTATATCTTCTGTATTGTACTGGTGATAATAACCCGATATGATTCGCATTCATAAGGTAGGTTCCCAACACTTCTGAGCTAAGCAGTAACCATTTCTGAACTCTTACAGGCATTACTATCTATTAATGTCATACTTGCAACATTTATCTTTAAATCTACAATACCTGATATAAATGAAGATTTACAGATAAATTTCTTTTCACATTTGCATCTGTTAACATCGTTGGTGGCATGTAACCAAGTTAGACTCGTCACTGTAACCACCAAGCTACCAGGCAAAGTTGTGAGCTATGTTATGGTTATTTTTCAACTCGTATTTTCGGGGAGATATGTGTAACGCTGTATTTTTTTTACTCAGTTATATGTAGTATGTGCACACCATCTTACATACATATTGTGCAAAAAGAAACCAAAGAAATAATTATCATAAGATCAAAAGCATAAATGGAATAAACATTTCATTGTGCACAAGTTAGATGACTCAGTGGGGGAGCGGAAGGATGGCTTGAGAGTAGGGGAGGGGGGTGTTGTTAATGAGTTGCTGGAAGGAGTTTCTCTACAAATGGCGATTGTGTTGAACTTTCATTTGGCTTTTATTTAATGGTTTTAGCTGCATTTTTTTATCTAGTTTGTATACAAATGATGTTTGAAGTAGCAAAATTTTTATATAACATAAGCAAGTTAGGTACTGTCCAATATTTTGTATGTATTTAATACAAATTGAAAATTATATTGTACAGATTGCCCAAGTTGCCTGTAATCGCTGGACAGACAACATCTTCGCAATCAAAAGTTGGTGCAAAAACAAATTTTTTATTGAGGAAGAAGTCTTGAACAAACAGTTTAATATCCCTGGAGAATTAGACTACATCTAAGAGTTCTTCAAAGGTGCAACATCCAAATGGATGCGATGCTTGCCTCCTGTCCTAGGAGTCACTGGTTCAAGCCCATGGCATCCCCAGTTCACCCAGCCTTGACAGGGTACCTAACTTTTGAGTTGGGGAAGTGAAGGCAGCTATGTGCAGTGCCATTCAGACTACAGTACCTCCTTGTGTATTGTATTGAAGGCTTGGAGTGCAGTGTGCTCTATCCATGCTGTCCCAAATGAGCTGTCAGGTCTATGGAATATACTTTCACCTTTTGAAGTGGTCCTCATATACTGTATAGCTATTTAATCATAGTTCAAAATTTGATTAATTCATATGGAGTTTGTTAAACATAGGGGGACATAATTTTATTTGGTATATAGTATATTAGCTTTGTTGTAGAACAGGAACAACTTACTGTCGCAAAACATATCTGCTACAACAGCGAGAATGAATAAATGAAAACAAAATGAGATATGGCTGTGATATTCTTGATTCTAGCCAACACATACTGGAGCAGGGGAGGGCGTGTAGGAGTGGGTTAAAAAAATCTAAGGTTGAAAACAGTAAGGAATTACTGCACTCTGTAATTAGTGAAGATAGTGGCAATCAGAATAATTAATAATTTTTATTCTTACACTGTTTCAAGTATTTTCCAGCTATAAGTGCGGGGTACAGGTAGTTGGAATGAGAAGCAAAAACATTCTCCGTTCACTTTCTGTTACAGATGTGCTGTGCTGTAGCATTCCCCTTTCATATCAAATATATCCCTATTTACTCCTGTTGCTTTTCACAACTTACGTATTTGAGTACACGTACAGTACTGTATATTTTAACAAGAATACATGATGGAACATATTAGCGACTTAGTCATAATTATAATTAGTATGATATAGTTTAAGGAATACAGGTAGTATAGTTAAATTTTATCTTCATAAAATTAAACACTACTGCACTTTATGAATTTAAAACCGTAGTTGAACACATTTTTGACACTTTTTTTTTTTCCATAGTTAAGGGGGTAATCAATAGTGTATCTTGATATTTTAGGAGTTGCTTCTCATAACTTTAATGTGATATCACTCCTGGCAAAGCAGTATTGTTAGATCTGGAAGACTGTGCCTTAATTGTGATACAGTTATTAATTATTTAATACTTCTGTTGATTTGAATTTTACAATATAAAATTTAAAACAATATTTTTCATTTATTGTACAGTATCATGTAAGCCTATTTTGTTTAGAAATTATTCACAAAATATTACAGTGTATACAGTAATTCTGTTATGTCTGTGATATTTAGCTTTTCCCAAATTCAGAGCAGAATGTTCAGGTATGCCTGACTTTTGATCTTTCCTTTCATATCCAAAATGTAATAAATGTGATCAAGTTTAGAGCTTAATTGTTCAGAATCTGTTGAGAATGATGAATATCTACTCCTCTCTTGATACAGTACACTACTGTACAGTATATCTTTTACTTTGAGAATTTGAAGTACAGTATTGCCTGTATAATGTACAGTACAGGACCTTTGACTTTTGTAACTAAGTTCCAATAAATGACAATACTGTACTAGTGTAAATTTTTTTCTTTTTGTTGGTATGATGTGTTACCCTTCAGTCTTGTACACAAGGATGTTTAATTACTGCAACCTTTGACCTTTCTAAATGACCAAGAACCTCTAAAAGATAAAAAGTTCAATAACTTCATAGGTGTTGTCTTTTCTCTTAATTGTTGTCTTTTCTCTAAAGGTGGTCAATTTTAATCCTTCCATACACGAGATAAACATAAAGATACTCGGGTGTGCACAACCTCTCATCTCACAGTTTTTGGTACAAAAGACTTTTTAAATCCTCATGACCTTTATCATTACAAATTAACCTATGATTTTCAAAATATATTCAGATTTGGAAATGCAAATTTTATCTGAATTGTAGTTATTCAATCAATCCAGTCTTGAGTACAGCATACCCTTAAAATTCGTGGGTGTTAGGTTCTCAAAATGGCCGCGGATAACATTTGCTGGCCGGGAGGGAGGGTTACATTTTTATTCGTGTGCAAAGAAATATATACTGTACTCCGTTTGTGGCCCTTTGTGACTGTTTCGTTCCTGACGTGAAGAAATTCTGCGAGCAACAGAATGTTCCATTCAACATTCTGTTGCTCCTTGACAACGCACCAGGACACTCGCCACTACTTATGGATCGTCACCCCGACGTAAAAGTGGTCTTCCTTCCTCCCAACACTACGTCATTAATCCAGCCCATGGACCAGGAGTTGATCTGCAATGTGAAAGCTGCATACTCTGCAAAAAAATTTAAGCTCCTGAACGACTGTACCAACACCAAGGATGAGTTGCGTAACCTGGGTGACACCGATAGCGAGAGCAAAAGCGACAAGGACGAGGAACAAGAGGTGGTGATTCAAGAAGTTCTCATTAAGCAGTTTTGGAAAAAATTTAACGTCAAACAAGCTGTGGACTTCTTGGTGGAGGCATGGGATCAGCTGTCTATAGCTACGATTCGTCACACATGGAGGCATGTGTTGCATGGTATACCAGGTGAGAGGCGGAGTCAACCTGTGACTGGTGAGGTTCAGTCTGTGACAGTGGCATTGGACCTTGCAAAAGAAGCTGCGCACAGTATTACAGCTGAAGGCTTTTCCGAGACCACCAACGAAGACATCCTGGAGATGATCATAGATCCTGAAATGACTGCCGACGAGATGTTGGAAGATGATCACGTCAGTGAAGAGGACAATGGTGCGTCAATCCCAGAAGAACACAAGTTAACACATACGGTAGTAATATTAAGGGTGCCATCGAGTGTGCAGAGAAATTGAAGCTCTTCCTTTCCAACGACCATGACGATGACCGCTATGAAGTCTTCCATACCCGGCTGGTGCAGGCTATGGAGCCATACATCAAGGTGTATCAAGACAACATCAACACTAGCCGTCAAAAAAGCATTATCGAGTTCTTCGCCCGCAACCCACCACAGCCAGCCAGAGCCAGTGATAGTGACAGTGAAGGTGACTTTGAGGGATTTGTCAGGGAGGCCCTCACAACTATGATGGAGAGTGATGGTGATTCACCTAGTGGTGGTGATTCACCTGAGGGCCAGTAATCTGCCCTCTGCCTCGGAACCAACCTCCATCCCCTTATGCCAACCCATCTCTTCTACTAACGTAAGTGTTAAACCTAACCTTTAGTTTTCCTAACCTAACCTTTATTTTTCCTAACTTAACCTTTATTGTTCCTAACCTAACCTCTTCTATATTTATTGTGTGTGCATACCATCATAAAGTTAAGATAATATTTTTACTACAACATAGCTTTGTGTCGTCAAAAAGTGGAGTTTGGGGGTCGGGCCAGTCTCTATTGGAATTAATCCCATATGTTCTGTTGTTCACTTTCCGCGGTACTCTATATATATATATATATATATATATATATATATATATATATATATATATATATATATATATATATATATATATATATATATATATATATATATATATATATATATATATATATATATATATATATATATATATATATATATATATATATATATATATATATATCTTGATAAAGATAAATCACACGGGAAAATGGAAACAACGGAGTACCTTAGCTTTCGTCTTTATTCAAGACATCTTCAGAGGCAACTGGATTACATGGACAGAGAGAGGCTTAAATATACAGGGTGACCTAAAAACATGAGGTCAGGTCAAAATGATGACATCCACTAATCCCCACACCAACACACACGTAGAGGAGCTTAAGAGAAGGGTGGTGACGTGACTAGCCAAGTCAGGTCAGAAAAAAGGGACCCACAAAATAACTATCATACATCTAGATCAAAGGTTTTCAAAGCATTTTTAACCTTGGGCCACTGACAAATAAATTTATGTAACATATTATCAGTTTTGAACTGACCATCACTAAGGTTTATTGATTTTAATTCCTTAATCAAACTAGCTTCAACCAGAAGTCTTTCTGTGACACAAGATGATTTGAATACTTCTAAGATTTTTTCCCAAGCAATGGGGTGATTATTATTCCTAACATGAACGAACAAGGCACTGCTTTCAGATGCAGTTCTGATATTATACTTATGTTGTTTGATTCTGAGCTGCAGTGTTTTTCCTGTCTGACCTACATAATTACAATTACATTTGCTACATGTCACCAGTGAATTTCTTATCCCCAAATTAGTGAAAATTGATCCCTTAAAGATGTTTGTATGTCAACTGTTTCAAAAGTTACATACTTCTTAAAATTTCATTGACGACACATAGCGGCCATCTTTGCTTCCCATTATCGGGTTTCTGCAACCAGATGCTTTTTGGAAGATATAGGTACCAACTAACCAAAAATTATAGGAGCAGTTAAATAGAGGGGAGGGGTTCTGGTAGCCTTTTGACTATGAGGGCAAAATTTTTCGAAGTGAGAATTGTGAACTCTTGGAACAACCTACCAGAGAGTGTTGTGACGGCACCGAGTGTGATCTGTTTCAAGACCAGATTTGACCCAACACTGGAGCAGGTTCAGGTACATTCAGGAGCCAGTTCATGCCCAGTATACTTGCCAACAATGCATAACAGACGTGACCGACCACCCAATGGCGAAGAGGACAAAAGTAAAAAAGTAAAGTAGGTTAGGTTACGTTACATTGTTATGTTACGTTAGACTAAAGATATCTTTGCAGACCTCACGCTACAGTACCACCTTTGGATGTTATGTAGTTGTAATATAAATCATAAGAGCTTGTAAAGAATAGTGCTAATGCCCACAGCACATGATGACATGAGGGTCTCTTGACTGCCTGATAGGGTTAACACATCTTCACCACTGCTTTTGTTCAGTCATTGGTATAATTAAAATTACATAAGTATTATAAGTGATCATGTCTTGACTCTTATCTTATCACTATCCATTTTAAAAGATTTTGCGAGAATAAAATTTAAAAGAATGAGTGACTGCTTTTCTGGATGTAAAAGGTATGTGAGGCAGTTGTCCCAGCATGACAGGGGCCTAGCAAGACAGGTGACCCAACATTGTTTGTATAGGTACATCTCAGTCCCACAGTGATCACTGACTTACCCATATACAATTTACTCGGTTTATTTAAGTATGTGTCCAGTCTAGTGGTGTAAGGTACCCGACAGCCCTCCAGGCCACCTGCCACACATGGACGATACACATTTCCTTTTTAATGAGAATGCAGATTATTCTTGAGTGACACATACCCCGTACTTGCGTAACTCATGCAGTGTTCCCGTGTTACCACGTTTTTTCTTACGATATCCTACATTGCAAAGAATGTGTGTGTGTCGGACTCAAAGGATACAGAAACACCAATAAATATTCCAACACTATATTTTCTAAGCTTGTAACACAGAATGTGAAGTGTAAGCAGTGTGGAGAGTGACCAGGAGTAGGTAGAAGACCTGATTACTGCTGCTGCCTGGTGATGTTTATTACTTGAAGGTCAGATCCCAGTGACCTCGTGGCGGGATCCACCTCGTCATCTTTTAATTTTATGATGACAGGATGCTGGTCTGTCCAATTTCCTGAGCTCTGGTGGGTCCATTTGTATCAGCTTACTTTGTTGTTTAGCCACACGCTGGTGGTTGTTTGAAGTCTGTTAAAGATTGTGTTGTGGTATTGAGTGTAAAGACCTGCTGTGACCCACCCCCTCTCCCCCCCAGCATACTGTACACAGGTGAGCCAAGGAAGTGTGTAGGATGCTGAGCAGGGCTCCCACTTTTGGAGAAAATTTCGTAGTTCGGGAAACTTGAGTGGATTTAGGGAAAATTCTAGGGAAATGGAAATTTTTTGGGAAATTGCGGGAATTTTTTTTATTATGAAAAGGAATATGCTGATTTCAACGGAGTGTCGATGGGGGATTTTTTCCAAAGACTACAATACCTGTACCATTAAGTTTAGCAGTGGTTAGTGAATTAAATACTTATTACAAAATAATGTATTTTTCATTATAAAGGTTTGACTTAATGTGAGCCATTTTTTTTCTAAAACAATACAGTTCTCCACAGTGCCGGATTTAGACCTGTGGAGGCCCATGGGCAGCATCTTTGTGGGGGCCCCCCTCATTATAACTACCCAAGAGGGTGGGCTGGCGAGTGAAGCGAACCTAAACATCTGGGAGTTCCGGGGGGCGCTGTAAGCCCCCCGGGAAATTTTTGAAATTTGAACACTTCTTTGGAGAATTTTGAAGCCATACACAGTTATATTGAGGAAATTAGAACATTGAGAAATTTTTAATTAACTGTATATTTATTGATAGTGTACAAATTCCCATGAATTTTAAAGAATGAAATAAAAATAATCCAAATGAATAAACAAATAAATAAAATATTGTAATATGTGGAGGCCCCTGGGCAGCTGCCCACTTTGCCCACTCCTGAATCCGGCCCTGGTTCTCCATTACAAGTAATTTACTAATTTACTGCTGCATAATAATAATTAAATTAAGATTTTTATTTTCGGGAAATCTTATTCATTCTCGGAAAATTTTTACGTTAGTTTGGGGAATTGAAGGTAT